CAGGCCCTGGTCTGCACTCTCCTCGTGAGGGCCACATACTCTGCAAGGTACCTTGGTTTGCACGTTTGCATGCCCCCTACGGTTGATGAAGCCCACTCGCCTTCGCTCCCTGAATCCTTACTTAGGCCACACAAGGAGATGACATGGACCCATTTTGCAGATCAGGATATTAGTCCCCACTTGGGACTAAGAGGGAACCAGGGGCAGAGCTAGGACTGGTGCCAGATATTACAACACGAAGTTGGGTTCTTTCTGTCGCTTTGCCCACCTGCCTTCTTGGAGATTTAGCAAATGAGAACAGCCAAAGGACATGTCCCATCACCGAGGCTAAACTTGGAAGTGTGGAATGAGCATGGGGCCCAGGGACACATGTCACCAGCAGTGTCACCCCTGGGGACCCCCTCAAGGTAGCCAACAAGGCCCAGGTCCTAGAGACACTCAGCTAATACTTTTTACTGAAACCATTCTTAGCTCCCTTGGTGTTCAAGTACAACAAATCAGAATGATCCATGATCCTGGTAATTTCCAGGGTGTACGGGGCGATTTTTTTTAAAAGAGGAAGAAAAGCAACTCTGTTTCATCAGGTATTTCCACAGCGTTTTCCCCTGGTACAGATGTCGAATACACATATGGGATCTCACATTAATGCAACGACACACAGCACCTCAGTTGGCGTGTCTGCTAGCTGCTATGATGTGTGTGTGTGTGTGCGTGTGCGTGCACGTCCGCTGGGGGTTGGGGAATTCAGCATCCTGTCAGGGCCTCCAGATGTCTGTTTGGGTGTGAACGGCCACACTTGCCCACACTCATGTCGGTTTAACACCGTGGCGCTCGCTCTGCAGTGTGCATTTTGCCGCCCAGCATCTTGATTTCTCAGCCACTTGGTTTCAAACTTGGAAAAGCTGTGTTTGATGTTGAAAGCTAAGTTCACACCATGCAGGGTATTTTAAAACCCGGCATCTGATGCCTGAAGTGTGAAAAAACATCTTTTTAATCCTTTTTGTGCTTATTGAAAGCTGGGCAAGTTTTTCTTAACTTACCAGGGAACGTAAAGCATTGACAGAGGACGAGGGCTTCGTTCCGGGAAGCACTTCGGAACGATCCCTGGCATTTCAGCCATAAAACAGTTTCAGTAAATATTGGTTTGGTGGAAAAACAGTCTAAGTGTTCAATGATCGGGATGATTTTTCAAGAAAAGTTTGCTCAAATTCAATAAATAAAAATGTATTTATTTATGTGAATTTTCAAAAAAGTTATGCAGCTACACATGTAGGTTTTGAGGCTTACAAAACAAAAGTAGTAATACAAGAGGCAGTTGAAGAAATCAGGGCCAAAAGAAGTGAGGGCAGCACAGTTATAAAGACAGGAGCGGGGCAGCTCCTTTCCCTGAAGGGTCCCTGTATACTCCACCTGGTCTGAGCTGTCTGCTGGGCTGGCCGTGCTTCCTGGAGCTGCAGATCCGGGGCTCTTCCCTCCCAGTTCTCCTTCCTTCCTTCCAGCCTTCTCTTCCAGCCGTCAGATCTACATTGCAAACCGAAGTCCCTGACTCCTGCTCCTGATCCCACTTCCCTTTATGAATCTCTCGCACTTCTAACTCCCAGAGGAGCCAACTGGCAAATGTGGTTGGCGATCACCTGCCTGTGATTCCCACTTTCTCACCAGCTCCCAGGTGACCCTGCTGCTGCAGGTCCCTGGACCACACACGGAGTAGTTAGATGCCCATTTGCTGCCCTGGTGGCATTTTGTATCACAAACTTTCTTTTATGTGTATATTTCCTATCAGAGTCTAGCTATAAGGAGAAAAGGATTCCTGTCTGGCTCATTTTTGTTTGCCTCCAAGTGTCCTTTGTGGAATTGTGTCTTTCTCGTGGAAGGAGCTGAAAGGTGGCAGTTTACAGAAGGAAGTTGGAGGAAGGCTGTCTTGCTCAAAATATCTTACAGGAAATAAATTCTGTGTTTGCAGGAGTCAAATTTGGTCCTATAATGGGCTTCATCTCTAAAGGTGATTTTTTTAGAGTTAGGGTTGCTCAGAAAATAAATTATTGAAATTAAGCATTCTAAATCCTGGAGTCCCCAGTTCAGTGTGTGTGTTGGGGGGCATTATCTACAGTATCAGCTGAGGCTGATACTTGTTTTGAGTGCCACAGAGAGATGGGGAACCTCACAGAGACCTCCTCCAGTCCTCAAACCTCTAGGTTCCAGCCATCACCGGAAGCTAGTGAGAAAGGAGAGGTGCCTCGGTGCCAAGACCTGTGGCCTCCTTGCTCTCTTTTGTTCCTCTGTAACAGAAGCTGGCAAACTTTGTCTACGAAGGGCCAGGTAGTAAATATTTTAGGTTTTGAGGGCCATAAGGTCTCCATCACAACTTCTCAACTCTGCCATTGTAGTGAGAAAGCAGCTATAACAATCAATGAATGAGCATGGCTGTGTTCCAATAAAACTTTATTTATAAAACCAAGTGGTGGGCCAGATTTGGCCCTCAGGCTATGGTTCACTGACTGCTGCTCTAGAACTATTTGTGACAATAGGAGAGCCAAGTAGGGCACATATTCCTGAAGGTCTCTTCTGAGAAGGGTGCTTTCCTACTGAGCTTTCCTTCAATGCTCCAAGGAGGGAGGTGGCTTTGCCCCATTTGGTAGATGAGAACACTGAGCCTCCACAGCGTCAGCCAACTCGCCCATGATAACACAGCTGGTAAGGGATGCAGGTGGCATTTATATCCAGATCTACTGAGTTAGAATCCAGTGTTCTTTTGACACTATGATTTGCTTGATCTTGCCTTGGGGTATGGGCTACTAGCTCATAACACCCACTGTGCCAGTGTAGGGTCACCCCACCCAGCTCTCCTGGAACTAAAACCCATCCCACACTAACATACATGGCAGGAAACCATCTCTTACCCAACTCTTCTGCTTGCTAATAGGCAAAGTATAGATGACAGTGCGTTACTTCGAAACATGTAGAAACTGGGCTGGGGTTTCTACAACAGGCCTTTGTGCACAAGCCGGTGAGCACCAATAGAAAAAGAAATAACCTTATCGCAAATTAAAAGAACAATCTTTAGAAAGTAGCTGAAATGTAAGGTTAATTGGAGCCAGAAATGTCAAATTAATGCAGCAATGCACTGGGGAGCCCGCCCTGGCCTTTGTGCACAGAATCAGTGCACACGACGAAGGGAGGCAGGGAACGACATAATAGGGTTTTTGGGAGTCCCCTGTCATATTAAACAGGCTTTGCAATTAATTTCTTGGTGCAATGTTATTTTCATTGGCCTATATTTTCTTTGACCTCTCACATTTTTTAAGCTACCAACACAGGGCAAGTGGGATTTAGGATTGAAAATTTAAAAACCCACAAAACTGTCTTGACTTAAAATCAGTAGAAATGTGATAGAACTGGAGCGGGGTGAGTGAGTAGCCGGAGCGCTCTTGGGGTGTGTTGGGGTCCACAGGTCCTTCAGTGGAAGACGCTGACCTGGGAACAGGGGGCCTGCTCTGCTCGGTGACTTACCTCCTTATTTTAGCCCCTTTCGGAATCACCCCCCAGGTCCCACCTTGCAGGAAAGGCTTGGGGTGCCCAGAAGGAGGGCAGCGGCCGTAGAGGCCACGGTCTTGCATTCACGGAGCACGAAACACAGGCCAGGCACCTTTGAAAAACGTCACCTTATTTAATCTTCATCAAAACCCTGAGAGGTATGCTCTATAATTATTGCCATTTTCAGGTGGAGAAATGGAGGCAGAGAACAGTTAAGTGCCTGGTTGAAGCCACACAGGAAACCCCCCAGGCTGGGATTTGAATCCAGGTCTTCGTGATTCCGAGGGCTTTGTGTTTAACTGCTGCTCCTCAGATGGCAATCAAGGTTCACCTGGAATGCCTGCAGGCCACATAGTCATCATCAGTTTTATTTCTATTTTTATTTTATTTTCAATTGTGGTAAAATCTACATAACGTAAAATTTACCGTCTTAACCAGCTTTGGGTGCGTGATTCAGCAGTGCTAAGGGCGTTTATGTTGTTGTACGACCAATCCGCCACGCTTTCTCATTGTAGAACTGAACCTCAGTCCCTGTTAAACAACCCCTCGTTCTCCCTCCCCTCCGCCCTGGCAGCCTCCATTCTGCTTTCCTACTCGATGGATTTGAGTGCTCGAGGCAGCTCATATGAGTGGAATCCTGCAGTATTCGTCCTTTTGTGATTGGCTTGTATCATTTAGCATAATGTCCTCAAAATTCATCCATGTGTACCCTGTGTCAGAATTTCCTTCCTTTTTAAGGCTGAATAATACTCTATTATACAATGGAATATTATATATGGAGTATATATTACTTAATAATATAGACTATTATACACATATACCCCATTTTGGTTATCCATTCGTCTGTCAATGGACATTTGGGTTGCTTCCATTTTTCGTCTGTTATGAATTATGCTCCTATGTACCACAATCAGTTTTAAAAGCTGGCATTAGGGTGTGACCATAAAGGGGTTACAGGAGGCGTTCCCGTGTGGTGATGGAACGTTCTGTCTTATGATGGTGGCAGTGGCTACAGAATCTATTTATGGGATCAAACTGCCAACAAACACAGACAGACAGACAGACCACGAATGCCTGTAAAAACTGGCGAAAACTGACTAAGGTCCGTAGTCTGGTTAACAGCATTGTCCCAAAGTCAAGGTCAGTTTCCTGGTTTTGATACTGTACTTCGGTTCCATATGAGGTCACTGCTGGGGGGAGCTGGGCAGGGGCCTCCAGGACTCTGTGCTAATTTTGCAACTTCTTTTGAATATATAATTATTTCAAAATAAAAAGTGAAAAATTACACACACATTAAAAAGAAGCTAGGAATTGGTTTTGCTGCATCAGCTCAGCCACCAAAAGGTTGTCATGTTGTGAGAGATCAGGTGAGGATGTCACCAGAAAATCTTCCAAGGTTTCCTGAACTATCTAAACCACTCAGGAATGTTTTAGAAGGAAGTTCCAAAGAGGATTTTTGTTCACAGGAAACTGATCTACTGTCAGTAACGGCAGTGAGGGGGTGAGGAGAGCCCCTCATTCTATTTGCGCCGGAGGGAGGATTTGGCGCTTTGTGCTTCTGAGACACGGGACCTCCTGGGCCTCCGTTTCCATGGCATCCAGCACACAGTGGGGCACAGCGATCCTGAGGCATAGGTATTATTATTGATTTCTGTGGATGAGGAAATCCAGGCTGCGAAGGGGTAAGTGACCGTCCAGTGTCACGTAGTTAGCAAGCCAGCCAGATAGGGCTCACTTGTCTAATGGCCAAATCCTTGTCCCTTCATCCACACCCTTCTGCTTCCCAAGTGAGTCAGCGCTGCAAGGAGCAGAGGGTGCGGACACGAGCAGTGTCTGCTTCGTCTGGTGTTGGCTATGAAATAAAACGGTGTGAACTCTCAGGTTCTCAGCTTGAAGATACCAACAGTTGTCTCTGTTGAGACTTTTGAGGATCACACTCTTTTGCAAAATGGCCAAGCAAATGATAAAAAGACAAAGTACATTCTAGTATTGAGATGAATCTTCGCAAGGCACAGAAGCATTTAAATAAGAGATTCCTGTGTAAGTTTCTACTTTGGACCTCATGAGAAAGGATATATGTATTTGAAAATTCTTTGGGTGGACTTGGGGTAGGAAATTTGAAGGGTTTGCTAGATTTAAAAGCTAGAAGCTTGAAATATGGGTATCATGGCTAAAATATGACATAAATTTCTTGAAAAGTGTTGGTTCTTGGAATTGTTAGAATGTCCATAACATAGCCCTGCAGTAGTTCATGTTACTGGGTCCAGCCTCACTGTATATCACACTGTGTCAAAGCATTCATCCATTGTCAGGCTAATTTGGAATAAAATGTCCTATTAATTTAGAAATGTGTCTCAGGACACACGTGTGGCTTTTGAAGGACAGCTCCCAACAACATGCTCTAGAAACACAGAGAAAACTTCCTGCATTGTGAACAAGTCTCTTGGAAGACCAGAGGCGCTGGTCAAGCGTGGATTGCAGGGCTGGCTTCCCTTATTCTCAGGAAGAAAGGAGGAAAGTGAGCATTTGGCTTCTGCTATTTCAATTCTCACCACGACCTTCTAAGATAGGTACTGTTTTCTCCACTTTGCCGCTGAGGAAACTGAGGCTCAGAGGGGTTAGCTCACACACTAGTGAACAAAATAGCCAGGCTAGACCTGCCATTGTGATTCGAAGTCCGTTTTCTTGCTCCTGCACGATATGCTGAATCTGCCGTCATCTGGTTCTCGAGAACAAGTGGTCAAATCAGGGACTGGAAAATCTTGGCTTCCTCACACATTTCCATAGATTTATCTTCCACATTCATGTGTGTGTGTGTGTGTTTATACACACATTAGTGCTCACTATTTAATATATATGATGAAAGTGGATCTTCCATATGCTAATTAACTTTTTGAAAATGTTCATTTCCTACATGAAACATGCAATTGTTGAATATCCACCCAAACTGAAGAATGAGTTCCAGTGTGTTTAGCCAACTCAGTGACTCATGATCTCTTAGTGACATATAGGTAAGTGTATACAGCTGGCATGTTTCCAGCCCTTTGGACTCCACTGAGAATTAGAATTCAGAGGTATGTTTCAACCTTTCTTGCCTTCCCACCACGACTAGCCCAGTTGTTTGTATTCCCAGAATGCTGAAAAGGTGGGGGAATTTTAAAAGGTGGGGAAGATTTTGTTGTAATATGGGCAAATCCTTAATTGGCCCTGCTAACCAGGTGGCTAATTGATGGACCACTGGATTTCAATGGTATAAGCAGCAACTTATAGTTAAATATTTGCACGTGTATCTAATTGCCTATGCAAAATTGTTCCTGCCAAATAGAAGTCTGGTGGAGCCTTCAAAATAACTTGGCATTCAACATGCATTAATATTTCAAACCGTCACTAACACTTGCTGTAGATCCAATTTTACTAATGTGCGTTTTTTTTAAACACCTCCCACTGCAGTGTGTAATTTTTGAATATCTGTAGCATGCTTAGAATACTATCCTAAGGTCCCGGGAACCAAGAATACTGATTGTGAATTCACAGTGCCCACATAACCAGCAGGAAAAAAACCCCCAAATTTGTTAAACAACCAGTTGTTTTTTTTTTCTAAATGATGTAAAAAAACCCGAGTTAACTTCGTGCTACTTCCTTGGAGCATGGAGAGCGACGGTCACTCGGCGCAATGTCATGTGGCTGAGGGCATGGCAGCCGTGATTCGGGCTTTGAGCCATGAATGAAGACCTTCAGGGAAGACGTGCGTTCCCTGCTCTGTGGAGCAGAGGGTTGCCAGAGCTTGCAGCGATGCAGCAGGTGGGGGTTTGGGAGAGTTATTTCCCCCGCCCCAGGACAGGTGGTGAGCTCAGAGCCCAGCGCTGAACCATCCAAAGGCATCCTGCAGGGTGGCAAGGGGCCAAGATGATCCAGGCAGAAGGAGGGAGGACAGAGCAGGCTTAGGGGACGCTAGGAGATGGGCTTGGTGTCTGGCAAGTGCGGGGTCCATGGGAGGTGCTAGGGAGCGAGGTTGGTGAAGACACAGGGACTTGAGATCGTGGAAGAACTTGCAAGTCACACTAAGGACTGTGGACTTTAGCCTGAGGGATTCAGCGGGCGACCCATGCACTTGAACCACCAGGACGCTGTCTCTGAGATGAGCAACTCGTGGGCTGTAGCACTGACACTGGGAGAACTTCATTAACTCTGCCCAGAGCCTGGTGAGCGCCCGGCGATCCATGGACCACGAGGAGTAAATCACCCCGCCCCTCGACCCTGGGGTCTTACCTCTGCAGAGATTGTGAGGTTAAACGGATTGGGAAACATGATTGGAAATTAGAATTCGAAAGCAATATTGGTGCAGCTATACCCTCAGACATGGCGGTGGCCACTCATTTATTTCATTTAACAAAATTTATTTTGTTCGGTGGTTTCTCAACTAGACAAAGTGTCTGGAGACATTTTTGGTCATCAAAACTGGAGTGGGGGTGCTACTGGCATTGCATCTACTGGGTAGAGACCAGGAGTGCTGCTCAGCATCCTGCAGGGCACAGGGCAGCCCCCCAACAATTATCCGGCCCCAAATGTCAATAGTGCTGAGCCTGGGAAACCTTGATTCAGGGCCTGCTAGCTTCTGGACATCGTGCCAATTCCTGGGAATATTGAGGGAAATTGGACTTAACTGGTGATCTTGAAGAGCTTGTGAGCTACAGCAAGGACAGAGTTGCGCGCACACAGCTAGAGGTCACTGAAGAGCTGCGGGCTTGAGTTTCTAGAAACAGGAGCACCTCCCCTTGAGCCCATGCATGGACTAGGGTGTTTGCTTTGCCTTTTCTCACGTGAAAAAACAAGACACGTCCTTCCTGCCTCGCTGGGCCAGCTCCTCTTTCAGCCTGCATGAAGGGAGACCAGCGAGGGCAAGTTGGAACGGGAAAAAAAATTCCAGGGGAAAACAGCCAAGAAAAGAGAGGCCAAATTTAGAGTGCTGTAGCTGTCCTTTAACTTGATTTCTAAATCACATTTTATCTGGAGAGGCAGGCAAGGACATTGACTTAGTTTTTTGCAACCCATGAGTTCTAGGTCAAAGCTGACACATAGGAGGGGCTTGATAATCATTTGTTGAGTTGGTTTGCAATCTGGTCTTGCATGAACTCTCCTACTCTCTCTGCTTGGTGCCCTCTCAGGGGGAATATTTTTACCATGTCCAAGGTTTCCAGATGGTGGTGTACCTCATCCTACAGGGAGCATGCCATCACCATCGAGAAGCATCCTCTGATGCTCTCAGCAACGCATCCTCACGCTCCCTTTGGCCTGCTGTTGCCGTCAGGCTAGTTACTGAAGTCCCTGCTTCCTGCTGACTTTGTCGTGCTGTGGAGAGCAGGCTGCAGCTGCACTGCCAGCCGGGACCCTGACAGCTTCCCAGATGCCTGTGCTCCAAGGACCAGGGTCCCTCCGAGGCTTGAATGGAGGCTCCCACTGCAAGGGCTCCTGCAAACTCAAGTCTGCAGCCACCTGTCTGAGACCCCACTGGTTTCAGAGTCATTTGCTGGCACTGAGTCACAGTAGCAGGTAGAGTGACAAGATGGGGGAAGTGCGGATGGACCCGGGGCCCAAACTGAGGCAAAAGAGTGACATGAATGGGGAAGAAGACGTAAAAATTCCTGCACGCTGGAGAAAGATTATGCTGGCGGACCCGCTGGGTTCCCACTGAGCACAGTTGTAATTGGAATGTACTCTGCAAAGTTTATTGGGTCCTGGAGCGACTTGTTACTGAACTGGTCAATTAATCTATTTTTTTGTTTTTTAATGAGTTAGGGGATTTCCTTTAGCAGAAAATCACCAGGAAGCATGACCGAATGCCCAGAGCTCAGGGAAAGGCTGGCCTTTCCTTCTAGAAAACTCTATTCGACAATTAAAGCAGGAAATGGACTCCTCCTGCTACAGGTGGCGATTGGACTGGGCTGGGAACCAAAGAGCAAGGATCAATCCTGCACAGAGGTGAGCACGGGCTCCCCAGGAGCCGATTCCTCAAGCGGCGGCCTGAGTGTTCGGAAATAAAGCCGTTGGTCTCCCTGCTGAGAGACAAATGATTTCTATTTAAAAACCTGCTTGTTCCACGCAGCAACTCCCAGTGTAGCAATAATTAATGATATAGGAAGGTTAAGAAAGACCTTCTGCCGGAATCCCTCTGCTCCAGGCATGAAATTGGATTAAAGTGAAGATAAACTTAGACATGAAATCTGTTGAGGAAATCAGTAATTATGTGGACACGCGCACATTTGGAGCTATTTGAGTAAGTCAGGTGGATGAAGTGTCCGTAGTGCCGTCCCAGGCTTCGCTGTGGCCCAGCCCTTTGGGCCTCAGTGGCAATGAACTGTCAGAGAAGATGCTAACCAGGGCCTTGTACCCACCTTAGTCCCAACTCTGGATTTAATTTTTTTCCCAAAATGAAGTTCCGTGGGCCTTTTGGATACGCTCTATGCTGGCTGCCTGCCTAATATGCATTTCTCTTCTTCTTTGCTAACAGATTTTTTTTTCAGGGGGACAATGTACAGACCAAAAAGTCATTTTCCAGGCAGTCTGGCTGTTGCGGGTGGCTGTGTGACATGGTTCTGGCCAAAGAAACTTAAGTGGAAGTCTATTGGGTGGGGCTTCTGGAAACATTATTTGTTTCCCCTGATATGAAGGGACAGAGTCAACTGACTGGCACGTGCCTTTAGCCCTTTGCCTTTTGCCCTCCCCTACTGCTCTTTTCCCTGCCTGGAACAGCAATGGAAGAGCTGGAGGTTGGGCAGCCATTTTGCAACCATAAGGATAAAATTTCTGTCCTAAGGATAGTGGAGATGGCAGTGAGAAAGAGCCTGGCTCCGTTGTGGTTCCTTTGGGTAAAGAGGAAAGAGAAGGCCCAGCTGTTAGGCATCTTAACTGATCAAGCCCCAAGCCATGAAGTTTAGATTTAGAATTAAATCTCTTTTTTGACTTCAGGCATAGAACAAAAGAAAATCCAATTGCCTGCAGCATGGTGATCCCATCTGGACGACTCTGAGGCTTCCCGGGCCTTCCTTGAGGAAGAAGACGTGTGTCGCCTATCTGGCCACTGAGAGCATGAGCTGGGTGAGCTGTGGTGCATTCTGTGTGCCAGGGAAGGGTGGAGGAGGAGGTGTTGATGGCTTTCTCTAGTGTGCGGCTGAGGCACGTGGCTCTTTTGGTCCTCTCCGGGCCTCCTCAGTCACCCTCAGTGAGTCACATGTCTGCTGCTAGGGGCCCATTGGTTCCCTTTGCTCTGGATTCTGAGTTGAACAGGAGGCATCCTTGTATCAATGCTTTTAGAACTAATAGAAGAAAAGTCTTCAGTCCCTCGCCTTGCGCATGTCCCAACGTCACTGTCTAGACAGAGAGGACTGGGTTTCTGCACCAGTTCTCCTTGCCCTTAGAAAGCTGCTGTTGGATCCAGGCACAGCTGAACCAGAGGATGTCTCCCTCCTTTGAGGCCCCTCTGTGAAGGCCCCACCATAGTTTCTCACGGGCTTGGGCTACCTTCTCAGGGAGCCACACCTCTCCTTGCCTCTCTTTGTGATGGGCTGGCTCTGGGGCCGGGTGGGGGAGGCTGAGGTGTGGGGCCATGTGCTGAGCAGGCTCTTCTGGGTTTGGGTAGGGAACAGCTTTCAGGCCAGGATCCTCCTGAGAAACCTATCTCCACCAGAAGAAATCATCAGCCGTCTCACACTTCCTGGACATGGTCAAAGCCCTGCCTTGGCCAGGGGGTCCAGTAATTGGTCTTTAATCATTTAAAGCCCACACTTCCATGCATTGCTTTAATTCATCCTTGAAACAACCCGTGAGCTCACACGAGGAAACTGAGGCTGTAAGAGGTCCCATATTTGGGCCAAGATGACAAAGTTGGTCCTCGGCAGAGCTGGGACCGAGTTCAGTGGAACCTTCTTCCTTCTCCCCCTGCTGCCTCCACATCAGCTCCCCTCTCCTCTCCAGACATCCCCTCCTGTGGTCACAGGGACTGTTGGCAGAGCTGCTGGCACTCACATATCCAGTTTTCCACTCCTTCCTGGACACACAACGAAACGACTCTTTCCCAGGCCTCCCTTTGTAGCAGATGATGCAATGAGTTCAGGCCAATGATATGGGCAGACACGATTTTTGCTACTTTTAGTCTTGGCCACTAAAATGTCCTATGTAATGTGGACTCTGAAAATGGAGGATCCAGAGGGACTTTGAGAAGGCCCAATGGCAGAGCCACAAGATAAAAGTGTCTGAGAAGATAAAGGTGCTTAGAATAGAGCTGCCCAGCGTACACTGGTCTGTCACACCAGTGAGAAATTTGGGAACTGTTTGTTACAGCAGCAAGTGTTAATAATCCTGACTAATATAGGCTGCTTGGGTTGCCGACGCACAAATGTCCGTACTGGATCTTGTAAAAGTTATGACTGGTTCGTGGGAAGGCACCATGTCCCAGATATTCTGTGATGGGTGTAAGTTTTTTATGGAGACATTCTCGTGCAATTTGAGATTCCTATGACCACATGTCTCTGAAGACGGTTGACAAGCTCTATGGCTTTAGAGATGGAGCCACTAAAGCATGGACACAGCCTGCAGCCCCCAGTTATCAGGTCTGTCTGTCTTTCGTTTCCTAGAATTTTCCGCTAATGTTACCTTTAAGCCCCAAACTGAATTCCTCCTTGGGTTTTTCATGAATTTCTTGCAGCCACTTCCTGAATCCAGCTTGCAGGGAATCATTCTCAAGTTGTGGAAGTCGCTCTAGCACCTTCGTCACCTCCTGCCACCCTCCCGATCACACACACATACACACACAGGCGCACACTCACTGAGTTCAAGGTTGCATATTGTTTTGTTTTGATCCCCAATAGTGGTGTGTTTGAGACTGTGTGTTTATATCAGAGAGCAAGTTAGTTCACTTCCGAAATTCAGTCTCTTCATGTGGAAAGTGCAGATAAAACTACCCCCCCGCCCCGGGTTGTCGTGAGGATGGAATGTGATAATGTATACGTATGCAAAAGCACTGGGCGCTGAGCGTATGGGCTCCGCCAGCAGGAGAGCTGATGTTGAAGTGCATAGACTCATCTACACCACTGAATCAGAGGGCAGGGCAAATCCAGAGACCCTTAACTCGCTTAATAGCAGCTTGATAAGTAAGTATGTAATGAGAAAAGATATAATCTGAGAGGAATTGCAGCTGACGATCTGCTCCCATCAGCCTATTTTTTAAAAAGAGAATTTTAATGTTTATTAAAGAATTAACATTTTATGGGGATTGCAGGACTTTTCTCCTATCTTTTGCTTTACCTTTTATTCTCTGTTTCAGTTAAAATCTACTTTCTATCATTTCCTCCCAGGCAGGTTAGTATATACTATGTGGCTTGTTTTAAGTGAAAAGTCCCGTAAATTGGAACACATTTATTATTTATGGCGGTAGAAGGCTTCCCTTCGCACGCTCTAGCAGTACCCTGATGACACAAGATCGGAAGCTGAATTTAGAATAAATGTTCCTCTCCGTGCCTGCAGCCACGACCTGCTGTCCTTTTGGGATGTTCCATGTGGAGTGTTGCTTGACGGTACCTCGGGTCTTCCTTTTCATTGCATTTTAACTTTGCTGCTCCTAGCATCAGTGGAAGTGGCCAGACCTGAAAGCTCTTACATTATGTATCCAAAGAAAGATTTTGGGGACCTACTAATTCTCAACCACTTCAGCGGGCAAGAGGAGAGCCTGGAAACAAATGGGTTTGGCGAGCGGCCAGGCTGTGAAGCCAGGATGCCGTTCATTGGCAAGGACCTGCATCTTGTGCCCTGATGCGGTTCTACTTTGTGGACAATTTCTGTATCTGACTTTGGATGGCTTCGGGATCCTAGGGGTTATTATTCTGTTCACTCGAGCAGTGACTCAGAGACACTGAGTAATGTATAACCGGGACGCAACGCTGGGGGTCCTTCTCGTAGGGTCTTGATTCTCCCTGCACGTTGTTTCTATTCCTGACTCTTGAGGTTTGCATTTCAATCCCATCAGTGAGGAAATATGAACGCAGAAAAATACCTATCTCTTTCTTTTGGAGCAGAAATCACACTCTGGCACGTGTCGTGTGAATTTCTTGTCTCTGAGTGCAGAGTCTTGGGCTTCTTAGCTGCTCCATCATTCTTCTCTGGTCCACGCTTCCCTCCCAGCCGCCATCTTGTTCCCTGCTCAGGGCTCCTGTTGTCAAGGAGAGAAGTGGGGGGAAGTTTCTGGGTGTTCTGTCTCTCCCCCTTGTCCTTGTTTTTTCCTTCTTCTGGAAAATAACTTTTATTTTCTTAATACAAAAATATTACATGCTTCTGCACTCAGAGAGGATTCCCTGGCAGAGTTTAAACTGGGATGGAGACATGGCAGTGCCTGATCAACAGGTGGGACCATGCGCCTGCCTCTCACTGGCAGCCCTGCCCGGCCCCCTGCCACACCTCTGTCGATCTATTTGTGTGAATTTCCTATTAATTAGGAGGCTTGCAAGGGGAGAGGAGATACCTTAAACCAGAGCATTGAATTACAAGAGCTGCCAAAACTCACCTGGCCTTCCTCCGTGCCATCCTGTTTTGGAATTGCATCTACTTTCCCAGACCATCTTCCAAATGAGCAGTTTGTAAAGGGTGGTCCAAGGACCCCTGGGGATCCCCAAAACTCTTTCTCCCTTTTCCAATAAGGTATCTGTGTGAGGCTGGATTTTCTTCGTATACTTCAACCAAACAAGACATTGCAACAGATTAAATGCAAAAGCAGGCCCAATGATACAGCTGTCTTTTACAAAGCCAGATGTTTAGGAGATTTGCAGAATGTAAAACAATGCCCCTCTTCTCATTTTTGTTTTGTTTTGGGAAATATAGTTGTTTCTTTAATAAAAATATGTTACTTATGTTAACATGTAATGAGTTTACTATTGTTATTTTAAATGAAATAATAAATATATTAACATTTCTCAGTTTTAATTTTTAATACAGTAAATATCGATAGATACAACCTACATAAACAAAATTGCTTTGGGGTCCTCAATAAGTTTTAAGTGTGTAAAGGGATCTTGAGACAAGAAAGCTTGAGAATAAGTATCCTAATTATTTCTTCCAGTGCACCAACAAGTATTTCTGTGCCTTAAAATCAATGGTTGTTTGGGAGCACCCTAAATGTCCATCAACTATAATGGATAATAAATGATGATATATTTATAAAATGGAATACTATACAGCAATGAACAGGAATAAACTACGGCTGGTATGTGTTGAGTGAAAGAACCCAGGCACAGAAGAATATGTATTTTAGGTTTAAAAATGGTACAAATTAACTGTAGTGTTTAGGGATGCATATATGGGTGGGAAAAGTAGAAAGAAAAGCACGGAGGTGATGCTTTAAAAGTTAGGACTGTGGTTGCCTTCGTGGGGCAGAGGGAGGGCTGTGAATGGGAAGGGGTGTGGAGGAACTTCTTGGAATCGGCAGTGCATAACTTCTGTACAATGAGGTTTTACGCGTTTCTCTGTATGTGGGTCTGCTGGTTATTAACCTATTGTTTTTGAGCTCTAAACCTACCCTTTTTACACCTTTTTCAATGCTAGGGATGGCACCCTGGAACCACACTCTCCTTTGCCAAATGGCTCAGTTACACATTGTCTCTGGAGAGAGGCTGGAGGGCTGGCAGACAAAGGAGGGACTTTGTCCTTCCAACATCCCCGAAGCCACACTTCCTCACCTGCCAGGTCCGTCCAGCTGATTCCAGCAGCAGCTGATTCCAATCTGCAGCCTTTTAGGCTGCTGGAACCTGCCTCATTGTCCCTCCTCAGAAGTCACAGCACCGGCCAGCAAGGCTCCTAGTCCAAATGGAGCAGTGGCCTGCTCTCGAAGGCCTGATTGCCAGCTCTGCAGGACCCCTCCTTCCAGCTTCTAAATTTTCACAATCCCAGCCTCTGTCTTTTGTCCCTGCAGCCCTAGGGCTAGTAACTGCTTCCTACATGTAGCTGCTTTCTATGGAAAACACTTATAAGTTATTATTAACTGAAGTTATTAAATGGTATTGGGTCCTGTTGTTGTCATTTACATTTTATTACCAAACTTTAGAGCCTGGAGGAAATGCTTAGGAATCTCATTTGGGAGATGTTCTAGGTATTACTTCTGTGAAAACTGCACGTCCACCTTTTTTTTTTTTTTTCATTCTCAATAATCAAGAAAAAGAAAACGAATTTAGTTAGCATCACTATTTTTTTTTTTAAAGATTGGCATCTGAGCTAACATCTGTTGCCAATCTTCTTTTTTTTTCTTCTTCTTCTCTCCAAAGCCCCCCAGTACATAGTTATATATTCTAGTTGTAGGTCCTTCTGGCTCTGCTATGTGGGATGCCATCTCAGCATGGCTTGGTGAGCAATTCTATGTCCACACCCAGGATCCGAACCAGCGAAATCCTGCGCTGCCAACGTGGAGCACGTGAACTTAACCACTTGACCACGGGGTGGCCCCATAGTTAGCATCACTTTATATTAAAATAATTGGGGCCAGCCCTGTGGTGTAGTGCTCAAGTTCAGCACACACTGCTTTCACTGCCTGGGTTTGCAGCTTTGGTTCCTGGGCACAGATCTACACCACTCATCAACCATGCTGTGGCGGTGACCCACATATAAATTGGAGGAAGATTGCCACAGATGTTAGCTCAAGGCTAATCTTGCTCAAGCGAAAAAGAGGAAGATTGGCAACAGATGGTAGCTCAGGGCTAATCTTCCTCAGCAAAAAAAATAAATAAATAAAATTAAAAAAATTGATGTGGTTCCTGTCTCCTGACTAAATCTTTGAAATGATACAGAAAATGTTTCTGGGATTGACCTCAGGAAAGAGATCCTCACAGATGGGATTTGGGGCGTGATTTGATTGTGTCCTTAGACTTGAATTCAGCACTGCACTCCTTGCTGTGGCGTGTAGTGGTGTCATGAGTCATCAGAGTATCCCCTGCAGTGGCTTGTAATGAGATGCTTCCTGAAGGAAAGGCCGCGGGGATCAAGCGGCTGCTACACTTGCTGTTTGTCAGTAAGGATGACAGCAAGGACTGTGGAGCATGGGATGGAAGTTTCTCAATGTGCTGGAGCACTTACAGGAAGGAAAACAACACACTCAGGTCTTTAAACTCTCAGTTCAAGTCTTGATCAGAGAACCAGAGAGCTTCTAGAATGACTCTCTCTTTTTCTTGTAGACCCTGGGCTGACCTTGCTGAAAATCAGACAGAGTATTTAATTGTGCAGGATGCAGAATCACAACCTAAAATGAATTCAAAGCTATGGCAAGTGTCTCATGTGAAATTTAAGGTGTTCTTTGGGAATGAGTGGGACCCTGAGGCCCGGTATGGGGACATCCGGATGGATTCAGATGAAGCTGATAATACTGAAGTCCTGAGACACTTTGATCCTTCCTTGTTGGTGGAAGAAGCTTGTCATCCGTGTCTGAGGAGACCAGGCTCTTATTGCTGCAGACACTGTAATAATCTCACCCAGGGAAGTGGCCTGGCGAGGGAGGCTACCTGCCCTCCCTAAAACCTAACCAACCACCTCTCGTTGCTCAGCATGCTCCAGAGAGCAAGTACAAAGCCTGCACAGGAGGAAACAGCCTATGTTTCAAAGGAATTGCAAGGTTTTGATAATTTATATTACCAGAAACCTGGGGAGTTTGGGTAGTAATGTATTTTAAGTATTTAATGTATTTAAAGAAGACAGGGTGTGACACTGGAGGACCAAATTTCTTTTTATGGTTGCACTTACCAGAGAGCCAGGAAATTGTCTGTAACTAGAATCGGCTCTCATGGTTTGTCTGCTTGGATGACTAAAGCTTAGACCCAGTGGTGGCCCGCGCTTAATGGCAGTGAGAAGCCGGAACTTCCTTGGCATAACATTGAGGAAGGGATCCTAAGTCTTAGGGAGATGGGAATGTTGCAGTGGACTTATTTTGTGAAAACTTCACCCTCCTGTCCCCACTACATCCCTTAAGAGAGCCCAGGGCACCTTCCCCTGTTAGGGGTCTGAGAAATGCAGGGGTGAGGGGAGCACTAGCGTTGATGATGGGAGCCGTTTGATGACAGGACATGCTGCCGCTCAGGGGGGCTCTCGGGCTTCCCTGGGGACGATGGGACTCCAGAACAGCAGAGGTCAAGTGCAACCCTTACCTCCAGAGACAAGGTGGGCTGTGCTGGAACAGATGGCATGCCCCCACCAGGGTCTTCAGCGGCGGCTAATGATCACATGGCATCCTTAAGAATGAAATAGATGGGCAGCCTACTAAAATGTATCTGTGTTATGGGGGACACTCCAGGTCTGCTGGCCACAGGTGCCAGAGTAGAGAGTCTGGTCTCTCACTCCAATCCTGGGCCTAAGCCAGCGCTCAGATCCGGAGCCCCTGGATTGAGGGGAGGTAGGGTCCCCTTGAGGACAGTTACACTGTCACAAGTATAGCCTGTAAATCTTCCTCCAAGCCTTCTCTAAAGGGACATGGGGTCATTGCCAAGGGTGATGCCACACTGAGGGAAGAGAAGTACATAGGCCCTTCAGGATTTCCTGACTCTGAATTGATGCCAATTCCCAGGGACCCAAAATGCCACTGGGATCCCCTTGTCAAAGTAGGGGCTTATGGTGTTCAGTTTATAAATGGAGAACTGAGCCAAGTTCTAATCACAGGGGTCCCAGGAGGTCTGTGAACTCATGCTGCGGTTGTCTCTCCAGTTCCAGAAGATAAAATCAGGACATAGGTACTCAGCAGTGGGCAGAATTCATAAACGAACTCTTTATGCTGGGAAGTCTCTGGAACTTCCCCTTCCCACTTCAGTAGTAAACCAAAAGCTACACCGCAGTCCCGACTCTGATCTGACACGAGTGCCACCCCAGAAGACTTGAAGATGTAAGCGATGCTTGCTGCATACTTGCTACAGTCCCACGTAACTCACTTTTTGGTCTGTGCATGCGGTGGCTGGATCCTGGAGAAGGAGTGTGAACAATCCTGTATTTAATCGAGTGGCGACTTCCAGTGCAGCTGCTGTTCCAGATGTGGTGTTTTATTTTGGAGCAAATCAACACAGCTCCTGATACTGGTATGTGGCTGTTGACCAGATAAAGGCTTTTTCTCTAGCCTATTTGCAAAGGCAATCAGAAGATTGCTTTTACCTTACGGGGCCAAATCATACCTGACTGATACAGTGTGTTATAGTCCACCTTGAAAGTTTTTAAAAATAAAAATAATACAACTCCTACCTCTACAAATAAAATCACAATTCTCTGTGTTGTTAATGTCTCATGAGAAACTGGCTGGAGAGATTTTCATTGGAATCAGAAGGTGTGTTTGAGATGGTTTAACTTCAAAGATGGGTGGCATAGAATGACAACATTTACTTCGGGGGCCAGGGAGCATGTCACTAAGGTAGGTGCCTTCAATTATGATACACTAAGAGGCCTGCCCACTGCCAGCCAGGACACACAGCTGTGTATTCATGGGCCGTCGGTGGGGAAAACAAACCGCGTGTCTGCGTACAGGCCCTTGTGCAGAGCATCCGAATTTCGGGCTCTGGGTCAGGATCAAGCTGCTGCTCACAACCACATCCCAGTGCTGGGTGCTCCAGAGCCAGGCGCGCAGGGCTTCATTTCATGATGGCGCTTGACGCTGGAGCAGCTCTGGGCAGGCTTGGCTTGCGAGTGACTTGGTCAAAGCTTTCGAGAGTTAGGCAGGGGCCAGCAGCACGCCGTTTTAATTACACACCATCTGGACTAACCAGAACAAACAAACATGCCTATCAGAGCCCGTTAGAGACTGTCCTATGCAGGATGCGCTCTCCTTTTTGATGGAGCCAGTGGAAGAGTTAGAGGCTGGGAGACAGCTCTCAAGCAGTTAGACTGACCTCATACCCAAAGCAGGAGTAAGTCTGCAAAATGCAAAACTGTGCACATAACCACCAGTGAGAAAGGATGGGAGGCACCTTCATCTCCTCACCTTTGGATTTGAAAGCGATTCCTTTGACTTCCATAACCCTTAGGGGTTCCCTGCATCTTAGTTCCTACCGCACTGTTCTGTCTTTATACTGGGGCCGGTCCAGTGGCGCAGCGGTTAAGTTTGCATGTTCCGCTTCAGCGGCTCGGGGTTCGCCGGTTCGGATCCCGGGTGTGGACATGGCACCTCTTGTCAAGCCATGTTGTGGTAGGCGTCCCACATATAAAGCATATAAAGTAGAGGAAGATGGGCACGGATGTTAGCTCAGGGCCAGTCTTCCTCAGCAAAAAGAGGAGGATTGGAAACTTTCTGGGCTGCTCTGCTGCCAGACTGTGAGCTAGCAGAGGGAGGTGCCCTCTTTCCATTCCCAGGCCCTGGCCACAGTCTGTGCTCACTCAACACTTTCCCAATGGAAAAGCTTTGTTTCTCTTGTATCTTCTCTCTCTGCACCGACAGCCTCTTACTCTATAGACAGACAGATTCTCTCTCTTTTAAGATGATTGGGATAGAGGAGAACAGTTTAGAATTATGTTTTTCTGTTCTAGTTTTATCTACAACGCATCTCTAAAGAATTGCCAATAATCTCTCCAATGGCTAAAAAAAGATTCTAAGTCATTTGGATTTTAAAAGGTAGAACCAATGGGATTTTTATTTTTTTTATTTTATTTTTATTTTTATTTTGTTTCTGAGGGAGGACACTGGGCAGGATATGTCAATACAAAGTTAGGTCCCCTCAGCAGACACTAAGGGATCTGCATCTGGTAAGTGACCGAGTGAGAGGGACTCTGGTTTCCAATGCTAACACTACCCAGAGTCAGGGTTTCAGTGATACTCGGAGGGACTCTGACGTTTCGGGGTTGAGCGCCATCACAGAGAACTTTGCAGGCTTCCTCACATGCCCCTTGGAGAGGTTCCGGTGGGAAATGCAGCCTACAGGGTTGCAGATCTTTTGCTTAAGTAAAGCTCCCCTCTAAATGAGTAAAAATCCTGCACCATTGCTGTCTTTTCTGTTGTCGTGCCTCCATTTTTTGTGCCCTTAATTTGTTAGCTCATCTAATTCTCAGAAGGTTCCACGTGGTGAGCAGTATTTACCCCAACCTTGAAGGTGAGGGACTGAGGCTCAGAAGGGGTACAAAAACTTCCCCAGCGTCGCCCAGAAGGGAGGTGGCTGAGCGGATTCCACCAGGGCGTCTGACTCCTCCTCCCATGGTCCTGCTGCTTCTCCACCAGCTCGTAGAGAAGAGCTTGGGCACCCTCAGGACAGTGGCTCTGGGTGGGAGGAGGGTCCCAGGCATGGGCTGGAAGAACACGGCAGCTCCTTGGAGGTTGTTCCACATCCTGTGGAAAGATGAGGATGGCCTTCATTCTCTGTGGCCACTCCACGGCTCTCAAGAACTGGAGTGTCCTGCTCAGGCAACTTGGGACATTCGCTTAGTCATCTGGGCCGCAGTTTCCTTCCTGACCATAAATGAGGATAAATGGTGCCTCCTCTAGGCATGCTGTGGGATTAAATGAAACGACGAATTAAAAAAACTCACTAAAGAGATGCTTTCAAAAGATGGCAGGAGTCATAGTTTATGATCATTTAGTTGGCGACTCTCTCTCTAACTGAGAATGTGCGGCACCCAAGTTTCCATTTCTTTTTTGTTTTTTTATTGAGATAAGATTGGTATATAACATTGTATAAGTTTCAGGTGTACAACATTATAAGTTAACATCTGTATACACAACAGCGTGCTCACCACCAAAAGTCTGGTTACCATCCATCCCCACACAAATGACCCCTTTCACTCATTTTGCCCTCCCCCCAACCTCCCTCCCCTCTGGTAACTACCAATATGTTCTGTGTATCTACGAGTTTGCTTTTGTTTCCATTTTATTTGCTCATTTGTGTTGTTTTATACATTCTGCATGAGTGAAATCACTGTATTTGTCTTTGTTCATCTGACTTATTTCACTTAGCATAATGCCCTCACGGTTCCTCCATGTTGTCACAAATGGCAAGATTTCATTCACAAATGGCAAGATTTCATTCTTTATGGCTGAGTAGTATTCCATTGTTATACATAGACCACATCTTCTTTATCCATTCATCCATTGGTGGTCACTTAGGTTGTTTCCATATCTTGCCTATTGTGAATAATGCTGCAATGAGCGTACTGGTGCATGTATCTTTTCAAATTAGTGTTTTCGTGTTCTTTGGATAAATACCAGAAGTGAGATAGCTGGATCATATGGTAGTTCTGTTCTTAATATTTTGAGGAATCTCCAAAATGTTTTCCATGGTGGCTGCACCAATTTACATTCCCACCAGCAGTGTATGAGGGTGACATTTTTCTCTCCATCCTTGCCAACACTTGTTATTTCTTGTCTTTTTAATAGTAACCAAGGCTCCGTTTCACTGGGGACTAGTTGATTTCTTCAAGAGAGGGCATTTGGGAGCAATGGAGTTGCCTCTGTGGTAGTGTCTAATGGTTTAAATCGAGTGTCTCTGTATGTCTTGAAACCATGACTTTGAGATATTGTCAGAAACAGTCTATTTTAGTCAATCACCAAGTTTTAAACTTTTTAAAGTTTAAAAAGGGAAAGATTTTTTTCCCCTTGGGGTTTTATATCCTATCTTTGTACTGACATGAGTGTCATAAATATGGAAATGTTTATCTGGACTTACATCCATATAGATATAAGATAGATAAAACACTTGGCAGAATGGGCTTTTTCCACCCTTGCATCCCTTTTCTTTTCTCTGCCTTGCTTCTTTACCTAAAACATACATATTTTGGTAAGAGTTAGAAAGAGGCTATATCACTATCGTTTATCTAAGCTCTGTTATAAGAGCCAGCCGAGGTTGTCAGGAGAAATGATGGTGGTCCTGCAGACGTTTCATTCTGAAGGAATGTCCTCCTAGACACCCCGCCGAGCAAGGATGGGAAAGATAAAGAACTGAATGTGGTGTGTGGCCATGATCATCCAATGGTGAGATCTTTCTGGAAAAGGACTGTACCTACAAGCACTTTTAGGCCTTGCTCACACAAGTTAGAGGCAACAAATACAACCTTAATATCTGTCACCAAGTATTTAAAAAATGGATCCAAGTGGGTTTCTCTTTTATCTGTCACAAGTAGGCATAGCATATTCAAGTCAGTTAAATTTTACAATTGGGAGTAGCAGATAAACTATACACCCTTCAATAATTTTAAAGATATCAACTGCATGAGCATACACTTCACATTCACATGTCATAGGATGAAATGTCTTTCTGTGGCTGAGGACTCAGAAATCTTAGGGCCTCCGGGTCACGTAGGGACACCAGCTTTCACAGCCTGGGAGAGCACAGGGCTCATAGCCATGGTTTAGTTCAGGGAGTTTTGGGTTCCTCTCTGTGGGATTCTATAAAAAATGGAAGATTTAAACTGGGCATTTATGCTGTATTAGTTTGCTAGGGCCACCATAACAAGGTACTACACTGGGGTGGCAGAGAACAATAGAAATTTATTGTCTCACAGTTCTGGAGGCTGGAAGTCCAAAATCAAGATTTTGGTGGGGCCATGCTCCCTCTGAAGGGGCTGCGGGATGAGGGATTAAGGGGAAGACATGTTTGTGGCCTTTCTCCCAGCTCTGGTAGCCTCAGGCTTGATGAGATCATGTCTCTTCACATTGTCTTCCCTTTGTCTGTGTCTCTGGGTCCAAATTTCCCCTTTTTAAAAGGACACCAGTGATGTTGAATTAGGGCCCACCCTAATGACCTCATTTTAACTTGATTATCTCTGTAAAGACCCTATCTCCAAATAAGGTCACATTCTGAGGTCCTGGAGGTTAGGACTCACATATCTCTTTTGGGGGGTACATTATGGAGTCCATAACAGATGCTTTTAATAGATTGGAGCTCTGGATAAGATTTCTTTAAAAAGGAAGCTCAGCGCTAAGTATTTTGAAAGTCTGCTATCTGAAAGGTGAGGAAACTAAGGCCTATCGAGGTAAACGACCTGTTCACGTTATACAGTTTATGTGGCAGATTTGGGATTCCAGTCCCGGGCCTGGGCCGGCTCAGTGTGCTGTCCACGCACAGCAGGAGCTGCCAAGCTAGTTAATAGAAAGTTCTGATTGCTAGCATAGCTGCGAAACCAACTTCATTCTTTAAAGTTTTTATTAGTCTTTTTCAAAAATGTCCCTTTTAATTGGAGAATTTGACATCGACATCCTGTTGGCTGGAAAGAGCCTAAGGCAACGTAAAGTAATTGTCTTTCATAGAAGAGTTCAGAAGTACATTTGATCATCTCTGTCAGCTGCCGAAAAACGTTCATTCCTTACTGGAATAATTTTGAAGTGAAAAGGCAGAAAACAATCCAATGGTTAATGACGTACAATCAATACCGAATAGAAAGAACATAATATTGTTGTGGGGCTTCTTCTTTTGTTTCTTTATTCCCATTCCACTTCCTTTTTTTCATTATATGACAAGACTCATTGACAGATGCTAATTGGTGGGATTCAGAACTTCTGGGAGAATGGAAGCCAGTGTGGAAGTCCCGTGTTGTTTTGATTCTCTTGTGACAGTTTGCGAATGTGGAGACCCATGGAATGAAAGTAATCAGCTGGTGAGATTTCTCTTGTTAAGCTAAGATCTGTGTTGTACTGTTTGGCATAAAGGACAGCCTGAGATCTGTCCTGGAGGCCAATTCTTTGGCATGTGAGGTGATGGATGACATTTGTCCTGAGTGACCCCTGACGTTCTCTCCATATCCCCTCCTGCTGTTGGTCGTTAGGCACCCGAGGCTCTCCTTGTTCACTTCCTGGATCACGCCCGGGGCACTCTGGGAAGATGGCAGCTTGCATGCACATCTCTGAGGTCCTCTTTCTCTTTTGAGTAAAACAAGGACTGATGACCAGTGCAGGCATGGCCGTGAGTTTGTCTGAGCTCCCTGTGGAAGATGGAGGTGGAGGGGGGCGTTCTCCATGTCCTAGGGTGAACCAGGAGGGCCCAGTGCAGAGCGGAAGGCCCTCCTCTCCCAGCAGCTCAGAGGGAAGACAGCAGACACTGTGCCAGCTGAGAAGGCCTGGTCAGCAGAGGCCTGGGCCCTCCCTAGGGATCCCCCTGAACCTTCTGC